ACCGAGGTTATACCCCTTTCTCGGCCAGGGATGTAACAGGCCCACACAACCTATGAACACATTCTTCATATTTCTTTTTGCTCATATGCCTGCCAGGTCTCTGTAATTGGTTACGTGTTGAACTAAATAAAAATAGGGTAGGTGCAAAGTAGTTAACTTCACAAAGTCTTCCGATTGTTTTATTAATGCACTAGTATGATGTGTTTTTGGCAGGTACCCGATTGGCTTATTTAGTACGGGCCCACTGTTTTCCAAGGTAATGCCACGTCAAATCGACTTGAGTATAGCACAACCTAATTGACCGAAACAGTTTACTTCTTCTACTTTTAGGCGTGCTATCAGACGTTCGCTCAATTGGTAGTATAGACAAGAACACGAGGATATCGCTTATAAAGTGGGCTCATGAAAATATCGATTTATTAGACTTAGCCGAGTTGTTGCTTCATTTCTAGGAAGCACATGGAACACTCTAAAATTCCTCAGACAGATATGTATAATTTAACACCTTTTAAAGTACCGTGAAACCGTTTTAGTTTCATTAGTAACTGTCATTTGTGTCATTGTCGCATGCAGTAGCCTGTCAGTCACCGACCAATTAGTTTCCTTTTCTTTACTTCCAAAATTGCTCCTGTCATTGATTCCATACGGGTACAGTAAGATACGGACACGTCGGATCAGTCAGGAACAGACCGGATTCCTTTGCGGACGAGGTTGCTCTGGTCTTTTTGTTCACCCCACTTAAAATCTTCGAACACTGTGAAACACTCGGTGTCTCATTAATTGTTTTCTTATTCAGTACGCGTTCTTATTTGTGTCCAGAGAAAGAGCTATGGTTTTGACAATCGAAAAGAAACAAGTCACCGAAGTAAATAATCCTTCTAAAAGCTGTCAGCTCTATACCATCAAGCCACGCTGAGGTCTATGACCGAATTTTCTCTTCATTTATGGATAACGATGAGATTGGGACAATCCTGCTTGGTTCCACTGTTTTCGATCTTTCTCACCATGAATGAGATCCTAAGGAGCACTCTGGGAATGCATAACTTCGTTCAGGTGATTAACTTCGTCAGTCCGAGTACACAAATCAGATTGTCGTTAGTTGCGACTTCTCCAAAGACGCTCAAAACGTTTTTGCAAGTCAGGAATGTCCATTTTACTCTTCGGATTGTTCACATTCCCATCTAAGTACAATGTTTCACCATAACCTCCATTCGCCTTATCAGTAGTGGTCACGTGGGGAATTATCGACCATTTTATCTATCCCAGGAATTACTTCACCCTAAAAAGACTGGTGGAGAAGACATCAATGGGTGGTCGCAAAGTCCGGGTGACGTTTACAATTTGAGTGGCACCTTCAAATGATGCGAACTTATACTTCGGAGATTGACTGTATTTGAGCACCCTTACGTTCGCTGTATTACCAAAATATGATGGTAACGGCAAATCCTCAACGACAAGAATCCCCGAGAAGTCTTTATTTCAGACAATTTTAGTTGGCCTCTGGGTGCTATCGTTTCTCATTAAATGTATCGGTAGCTTGGAAGCATGCTGAATATATTGGTCGAACGATTGATCACATAGATTTCAAGATGCACAAGTTAGAGCCAAAAGGAGGATGTCTAACGAGCTATCATTTCGCTCTATAAATTTGCCGAGTTAAGAAGAACAACAGTAGTTTTCGGTGATGTGTACGGGAATATTGTGGTCATGTTCCGGGGACCTCATAAAATTACTCCTAAAAGTAATTACTGAGGGTCTCCTAAACGTTTACTGACAATAACATATATAAAATATTATATATATATTATAATAATATATAATGTGACTGGGGCCAATAAATCATGGTGCTAAACATCGGAATGGAGTAATTTGCTCGATTCTATTCGTTCTCTTGGGAGCAAAGCAGAAAATTGCGAAGTCATTTTCAAATTCTTGAAGAACACTATC